CCTGCCGGCGCTGTGAGTCTTAAAGAGTGGAGGATGGCCAGGGAACCTTCTGATCATCAGTCCTGTTTTCTTCTATCTGAATATAACTTTGTGTTGCATAGATCGACTCGTATTCTCGTTTTGTAGACTATCAAATGCTTTCTATTATATGACTATCATTTAGCCTTTTCTTGCTTTATTTTGCTCTACTTCATCTGGTATGTTTATCTATTCTTTCTTCTATTCTACTTCCTCTTTCCAACACTGCTTTTTTTAACTTTCACTACATCCTTTTATCAGTTTTCTCTTGAATGCCCTTCTTAGTCTCTTCCTTTCCATCACTGTTTTTATTTTCCTGTATATCCATTCATCTTTCTTCCCTAACATCCTTTTCCTTTTTATTTCCCTACCTACTCTTCTCTCCCTTCACCTACTCTATTTCCTCTTGTCTCTATTTTCTTGCTTCCTCTGCTATCTGTCTTTGTCTCTCTCTCCTTCGCTTCTCATATTGGCCACCAATGGCCAGGAGCTCTTAACACAACGGCCGGATCGTTCGCTTTTACAAGTTTACCCAAAACTCGCGTATCTGAAACCTTTTTACCCGGTTCAGGAGCAACGCCTGCTTGTAAATTCGTCGAATGGGATCCCTTCTGGTTGTCCGGTGTCAATTAAATCAATTTAGACATACACTGGACGGTTTAATTCTTTGTTTCTTCGTATTATTTGGGATAAATTCTGTAATATAGGTAAAGGTTTTTTTGTATTACTTAGTATATTTATTTTTATTGTGAATTATTGTGGTCAATTTTTGGTTAGTGCATAGATGTGACAGGAGGTTATAGCTGTGCACTGATTCGAAAGGCCGTCTTTGGACCACTGGTCCTTACCAGTGGTCAAAAAAGGTCATCTCGGACCGAGTTGACCTTCCTCAGCCAGGAAGGTCAACTCGGGGCCACTGGAGGTCACAATAGACCCACACCAGAAAGGTCACTACTGCGGGTCACATCTCATTTACAGTCTTTCCTCTGCCAGCGGTAATGAGCTGGATAATGATCATATGACCTCACAGCTTTTATTTATATCGAGAATTTTAATTTGCATAATATCGGAGCATATTTTGGCGCTCGTCGTTTCTGTTCCTGTTTATTATTGTTGCCCTTGTCGTACCTTAGTCTCTTCTTGTTGTGTCTGTACTTACCTGATTATTAATTACGAGGGTTGAAGAGAGGAAACAGCTCGCCCCGAAGTTCCTGTTGTCAAGACCTTCACTGCTAATATTGCATAGAATACTGCATGGAATTACTGCATGGAATATTGCATGGAATACTACATGAGCGAATGAGTGTCGCGAGGAGGGGAAAGTTCAGTCTCCAGGCAGGGGAACAAAGGGGAAAAGGTAAGTAAGTAAGCAAATTTTGATTTTATGTTATTCCCAGGTGAAGCATTTGGACAGGGCCTTTTGTGCAAATGATAGTGAATATAGATTAAAGGTTTGCTATCCAGGAGCGGGAATTGACGATACATTCTGCAATATAAACTACATTATATACTAGTGCAGGAGGAATTACACAGGAGTTAGGAGTGAGGCCTTGGTGCAGAATTTTAAGGAAGTCATTGAGTTGGGAGCAGGAGAAAGGGTGCCTCTTAGATGTGGCACTCATCCAAGAAAGGGAGTTGGATATGAATGAGTGTCTAGGGCAAATACAATGCACATCCATTGATAATCAATTGAACACATCCATTATTCCCATTGTTTCACTGGGAACACTTCAAAGAAAAAGTATATGATCAAGAAGGGGTTCACTTACCTAGGGCTGGAGTTTATAATTTTGCCTCTTCGTTGGGAGATTGTGCGGGGTTCAACTATTTGATGATAGAGGTCTGGGAATGTATTTGAAGGAAAAAGGTAATAAGGGGTAAGTCCTGATAAAGAGTTAAGGAGTGAATGAAAAAAAATTCTAGTAAAAATAAAAATAATAGGGGTGTACACAAACTTCAGCAGAACTCTCCTAAGGTGTACTACACACACACACACACACACACACACACACACACACACACACACACACACACACACACACACACACACACACACACACACACACACACACACACACACACACACACACACACATGCACACACACTGAGGCAAGGGGAATTGACAGGGTGGACAAAGACAAACTCTTCAGCACGGGAGGGACACGAACAAGGGACACAGGTGGAAACTGAGTACCCACATGAGCCACAGGGACGTTAGAAAGAATTTTTTCAGTGTCAGAGTAGTTAATAAATAGAATACACTAGGAAGTGATGTGGTGGAGGCTGACTCCATACACAGTTTCAAATGTAGATATGATAGAGCCCAGTAGGCTCAGGGATCTGTACACCAGTTGATTGACAGTTGAGAGGCGGGACCAAAGAGCCAAAGCTCAACCCCCGCAAGCACAATTAGGTGAGTACACTGGAGAGAAGAAGAGATCTTAGCTAAACTCAAATACTTTAAGTGCACATGTGTGTGCGGAAACATTACATATTAATACCTAATGGTTACATGAATGAATGTAGATATCAGCAAAGTCTTAACCGAATATAAAATAAAGAGATACAGACCACTTCGCACTGAGACACAGATTACAGGGGTAGCAGCAATATATATTTTATATATATATATATATCAGGATTTTTTTTAATGTATCAAGGAGGGTATCAAAACAATGCCACACATTGAAACTGTTTGGCTAAAATTCATTAAAAATAATTATATACTAATAATATGAGTTATTTGTAAGCCTCCAAACCTTAACAGAATGGAAGGAAATTACATATGAAAATATATACCTAAAGCATTTAAGTTTAATTTTTTTTTTGGTATAATAGAGTTTTAGATTTAGTGACAGAGAGGCACAAATATATATCAAAATAGGGAGTCAGCTGGCAAAAATAAATAACCAAAAATAACCAAACTAGAGACCAAAAAAATATAATTAGATTTAACAGTGTAAATGTGTGTGTGTGTGAAAGAGAGAGAGAGAGAGAGAGAGAGAGAGAGAGAGAGAGAGAGAGAGAGAGAGAGAGAGAGAGAGAGAGAGAGAGAGAGAGAGAGAGAGAGAGAGAGAAAACTCTGTCAGGAATACGCTTGATTTTTCGGAAAGTCAATCTTGAGAGATTTAGAAGTTTGAAGGCAAGGATGGACCAGCCGGACCTGGACACGGGAGTACTCCCAAATTACACGACGCGTGTCCAGCGGTGCGTCACGTGACGGAGAACCGGGGCACCAGACCGAGGACCGGGGCACCAGACCGAGGACCGGGGCACCAGACCTAGGACCGGGGCACCAGACCGAGGACCGGGGCACCAGACCGAGGACCGGGGCACCAGACCGAGGACCGGGGCACCAGACCGAGGACCGGGGCACCAGACGGAGGACCGGGGCACCAGACCTAGGACCGGGGCACCAGACCGAGAACCGGGGCACCAGACCGAGGACCGGGGCACCAGACGGAGGTCCGGGGCACCAGACCTAGGACCGGGCACCAGACCGAGAACCGACCGAGAACCGGGGCACCAGACCGAGGACCGGGGCACCAGACCGAGGACCGGGGCACCAGACCGAGGACCGGGGCACCAGACCGAGGACCGGGGCACCAGACCGAGGACCGGGCACCAGACCGAGAACCGGGGCAGAGGACCGGGGCACCAGACCTAGGACCGGGGCACCAGACCGAGGACCGGGGCACCAGACCGAGGACCGGGGCACCAGACCGAGGACCGGGGCACCAGACCGAGGACCGGGGCACCAGACCGAGGACCGGGGCACCAGACCTAGGACCGGGGCACCAGACCTAGGACCGGGGCACCAGACCGAGGACCGGGGCACCAGACCTAGGACCGGGGCACCAGACCGAGGACCGGGGCACCAGACCGAGAACCGGGGCACCAGACCGAGGACCGGGGCACCAGACCGAGGACCGGGGCACCAGACCGAGAACCGGGGCACCAGACCGAGGACCGGGGCACCAGACCGAGGACCGGGGCACCAGACCGAGAACCGGGGCACCAGACCGAGGACCAAGGTATAGAGCAAACACGTGACTCCTTCTCTACGGGATAAGTCTTCAGTTTGGTTCACTTCACGGCGGCTCTCCAAGGTCACCTGTGGGGCTTCCACCCCCCCCCAGGGGCGGGGTGGAGGGAGGGAGGGGGACGGTGGCGGAAGGGGGGGGGGGGGGCCGAAGAGGGAGATGGAAGGGGTGGGGAGAGAGAGAGAGGAAAGGATGAGGGTGATGGAAAGTGAGGGGTAGATTTAGAGAGAGAAACGGATGGGGAGATGATGAAATGAGATGGGGTCTTGATTTATATATATTATACTCCTACACACATGGTGTAAGAGAGAGGGAGAGTGAGAGTGAGAGTGAGAGTGAGAGTGAGAGTGAGAGAGAGAGAGTGAGAGAGAGTATATTTTTCCTCATTAAGTTGTGGAACATGGAAGAATATACTCCATGAGCATTGATGGAGTCTGGAACAAGTTTCGCTGTCCATTGTCTTTTTTTGTTCCCCTCTAAACACCGTTTTCTATGGCGAGACATCTTGACCGGGGCCCCTTATTTGTATACGATCTCACCACTAATCCAATCTTCCATAGAAGATCAAAAATTGTAATGGATACCTATTCATTTTTCTCCTTAAACATTCCAATAAAGTCTCGTTTTCTATTGATTCTTATGTTTTCATCTATCAGGTGCCATGTAGCTAATATTAAAGCGGAGTTTTGTTCCGTATTTTACTTTGGGAAGATCGATGTGAACCCATAAATGTGCCGTTAAGAGTTTATTGATAATGTTCTTAATCTGACCAGGTAAAAGTTAACGAAGCCGTTCCTTTACACAAGTAAAAAAAATATATAAATAAAGGCGAAAGTTTAAAGCTATTTGTCAACCGGAGCCTCAGGTGGACAACGTGGGGGCTCGGCGGCTAGCTCGGCGAGGTGACCGCCCACGGCGCTCATAGGCAACCTGTACGTGCAGCGAGTCTACCCGACAATCTATTCAAGATGGCAGACAGAGAGTTTGAAGAATTTCGCCAATATTTTGAACAGCTACCGCAACACATTAAGGCTCCCTCCTCCTGCTATACGTGAGTACCGTCTTTAAGGTGTTGATGCATGTGTACGTCACCACATGAGGCCCGTCTCATGACCGTAGGGGACAGAAACAGTCTCTGTCCACCTCCTCCTCCTCACCCGTCTCTGACACCAGCTCATATCCCAACATTTCCTTAAGTGAAAGACGATACCTGACGTTGTTTCATTAGACAAAGAACCCGAACTATTAAAGCTGAATATTGTATTGATCGCTTGTGTTAATCGAAGAAAAAAAATCATTCTTCAGTGAAGAAATATTGTGTACAGAGGACTTGAGAGGCGTGTCATTCATACCTCTTCCACTACTCTTGTTTCACTTATCTCTACTTTATTTACCATTACTGGTGAAGATATACCCAAGAGAGAATCTTTCTTGAGAAGGAATGCGAACAGCAAACGATACAGCGAGATAAATATCGAGTGTGTTTATGCCGGTAAACATTGGGCAATATCTCTGGGAGTGTTTAGCATTGATCGTCGTCATTAGTCGCTGTTATTCCAAATGATGAGCCGCAGCTGTAGGCATTATTGTCAGAGACGGGCGGCCCCACGGGCGTGGACCTCCTCTGATGTTATTGACATGGCTGGAAATCACGAGGAAAGATGGCTGGAAAGTCCCCGTTTTCTGTGACGTCGGGAGCGGCACCACAGAGAACGGGTGTTCAGCGGGGTCTGTATCGATTGCAAAACTCGCCTAAAAATGGGTCGATTTTCCTGTTGTGGGAGTGTAAGCAGCCACGTGGAGCCGGATTCACCCCCCCCCCTCCCTCGGCTTTCATCGAAACTACACAGTTTAGTGTTTATTCTGAAAGAGGAGAAACAAACTTTCGCAAATGAGGGGAAATTAGAATTACAATTGTGTCTAACCAAAATTTGTGGTAAATATAGGCATTGTAAACACTGCTTCAAGGAAGAAACATCTCTGTGCACACATTCGCGACGAAGTGTGCAACAAAGGTCAATTAACACGGTGAACTTGTGAACTTAAATTAGTTTAGACATTAAACAACTCTGCAACTGGTGCCGCCCCCCCCTAGGCCAAGACTGTCTATATTTCTCACAACCACTAATGCTACCATTACTCCTATTAATATTAATGCTAGTAGGGACAAGTTGGATTGAATGTCGTCATTAGGTAGCAGAGAGAGGCGGGCGAAGCTGTTGTCTAATTAATTAGTGAACATCAGTGAACAAAACACGAATTAAACCAAAAAAAAAGTGACCCGTAAATCTCATGTGTTGGAACCTTAGGCGCTAACGTAGTCAGTACACAGCAGATTAAGTGATAAATTACCGCGAAATTAAACCCTTGTGAGAAACTTTGTACATCTCTCATCAGTGGATACTGCCGTCTTGAGTCACGTACTAATTTGACGCGGCCAGTAGGAATAATGCTGATGTGGGGTGAGAGTAGACGTAGGAGTAGAAGTAGTAGTAGCAGAAGTAGTAGTAGTAGTAGTAGTAGTAGTAGTCCTGGAAAGTAGTCGTAGTACTAGCATAAGTAGTAGGCCTAGTAGCAAACAGCGGTAGATGGCATTGAAGAATAAATAGTAATATAAATGATTGTTCTTGTACTCACTTACATTGTAGCGCCATATCTGCACTCCAGGAATGTGCCTAAACTGGCAAACATTACAATAATAGAGTTTATAGACAAGTCTGGATCAAACATCAACATTACTCACAGTTCCTAGACAAGTCTGCATCAGTTACATTGAAGACGGAGTTCAAACATCGGAAAGCTTACTTCGACAGCCTCTCCATTGCTCACACTCAGTTCATAATCTCACAATTTATGACTATGTAATAATTCCTCCTACATATGTTGATATGTTTAGCTTAAAACGACATAATCGAGTAGTTGATAGAGACCTAATGATGTTAATCGGATCAGTTGGTAAATTGTAACAAAAATATATCATTTGGTAGAATTATTGGTTCCATTAGAGGTCTCAACATTAGGTCATTCAGCAAATCGTGAAGAGTTTTAAAATATAACTCAGGATTACGTATTGGATATTTACGTTATTCCAATGTTTATTTTATACATTTTGGCACTGGGGAGGGCACATATGACCTTACGGGTCATGTATGTCATAGCCATACGATGCGTAGGTCACATATTTCATTGAGACGTACACACTGAAATACTGATTTGGAAATAACTGTTTTCCACTAGGTGTGAAATTGGTGAATTTCATTTATTGTATTATAAATTCTAACTTTAAAGTCTCTGATAACACTGGATCGATGTAATCCATCGTCATGGTAAAGTACATGGTGAGAAGTTAATATTATCCAGGTACTTACAGGAATATTTGACAAGAATCTCGCCACGCAATAAAATCAGCTAACAGGGTTGGTCAGTATTACAAATCATCAGAACACAATTTCCAGGATTAAATGTCAGGATAACTTCTGTATCATATATATCACTCATACATAAAATTAGAATATTTTTCTAATGAAACTCATTTGTTTGTATTGTGTATACTGCAGCTGCTTTTTATGACAAGTGATTAGAATGACTGACGCATAATAATGAACAAACTCTTTCCTTGTTTAGCATATTGAGAAAAGCTGCACAGGTTCCTAAATGGTTGCGTTAATGGTTGCGTTAATGGTTGCGTTAATGGTTGCGTTAATGGTTGCTGAATCTTAGCCCCAGGTGAGGACTCATGGCCCCATGACAGGTCCGTTCAGTATACACGAATCTAACCATAGCCGGACATACAGCTCTCCCTTGGAGTTCTCTGGACAGCTTAGTGTGCTACAGGCGAGGAGTCACAATAACGTAGCTGAAATATGTTGACCAGACCACACACTAGAAAGTGAAGGGACGACGACGTTCCGGTCCGTCCTGGACCATTCTCAAGTCGATTGTGACGTCGAAACGTCGTCGTCTCTTCACCTTCTAGTGTGTGGCTTGGTCAAGAGCTTAGTGTGCTGGTCAGCGTCCTGTGGTCTGGAGGCGTGTCCTGAGAGAGCACTGGGTTCATGTGTGTCCAGTTCTCTCTGGACACACATGTAGTACCGAGTACTTTATGTATGGGGGGTAGTTGGTTAGGATAGTCTGTGTGAGATGACGGCTAGGATATTATGGTATCATTTACCATATTATTATTATTATTATTACCGTCATTTACAAAGGTATCCTTACCTTATACCCAACTTATACTGCTAATCTATAGAGGCAAGCCCTTGACACCTAAAATTATAGCAGTTGTTGTCATTGTGGTGAATATATACACATTATGTTTGCTGGGAAGTTACCGTGTTGTGTTACTTGCTGTGTCATCGTCTCGCTGAGAGCGTGGGTGGGGAAGTTTGCCACACTGAGCTGGGGACCTGGAGGTCGCTAGTCCTGACACGAGTCTTGGGTCGCTGGCTCAGGTCGTGTACATGTCTTACACTACATTGTGGCGGGGGCGGGAGTGGTCTGGCGGGGGCGGGAGTGGTCTGGCGGGGGCGGGAGTGGTCTGGCGGGGGCGAGAGTGGTCTGGCGGGGGCGGGAGTGGTCTGGCGGGGGCGGGAGTGGTCTGGCGGGGACGAGAGTGGTCTGGCGGGGGCGGGAGTGGTCTGGCGGGGGCGGGAGTGGTCTGGCGGGGGCGGGAGTGGTCTGGCGGGGGCGAGAGTGGTCTGGTGGGGGCGAGAGTGGTCTGGTGGGGGCGAGAGTGGTCTGGCGGGGGCGAGAGTGGTCTGGTGGGGGCGAGAGTGGTCTGGCGGGGGTGGGAGTGGTCTGGCGGGGGCGAGAGTGGTCTGGTGGGGGCGAGAGTGGTCTGGCGGGGGCGGGAGTGGTCTGGCGGGGGCGAGAGTGGTCTGGCGGGGGTGAGAGTGGTCTGGCGGGGGCGAGAATGGTCTGGCGGGGGCGAGAGTGGTCTGGCGGGGGCGAGAGTGGTCTGGCGGGGGCGAGAGTGGTCTGGCGGGGGCGAGAGTGGTCTGGCGGGGGCGAGAGTGGTCTGGCGGGGGCGAGAGTGGTCTGGCGGGGGTGAGAGTGGTCTGGTGAGAGTGGTCTGGCGGGGGTGAGAGTGGTCTGGCGGGGGTGAGAGTGGTCTGGCGGGGGTGAGAGTGGTCTGGCGGGGGTGAGAGTGGTCTGGCGGGGGCGAGAGTGGTCTGGCGGGGGCGGGAGTGGTCTGGCGGGGGCGGGAGTGGTCTGGCGGGGGTGAGAGTGGTCTGGCGGGGGTGAGAGTGGTCTGGCGGGGGCGGGAGTGGTCTGGCGGGGGCGGGAGTGGTCTGGCGGGGGCGACAATTTACATACGGCTGGTGGTGGTGTAAATTATGATGATACAAAGTGGATGTATCGGAGCACTCTGGTCGACCCTTCACTGCGGGAGAGTCTGCCGCAGGGGACCGCTGCCGCAGTCTATGGAACACTGGTTGGCTGTGTACAGTGGGTGGCTGCCGCGTGTGTCTAATCACCTATTTGTGCCTGCACTATCGAGCTTTAGCTCTTGGTCTCCATATTTCTATCCACTTTTCTCTAATACAATGAAAATGTCCTGTTTCCTGTTATCAACTATCCTCTTATCTTTTTTTTCAATTTCTGTCACTATTTCTAATTATTCGATGTCTGTTTTGTCTCCTGCCCAATCACTTGAGGGTGGACGGTAGAGCGTCGGTCTCGCTTCCTGCAGGTCGGCGTTCAATCCCCGACCGTCCAAGTGGTTGGGCACCATTCCTTTCCCCCGTCCCATCCCAAAACCTTATCCTAACCCCTTCCAAGGGCTATATAGTCGTAATGGCTTGGCTCTTTCTCCTGATAGTTCCCTTCCTTCCTTCTAGATTTTCTTGCCACGTTATGGCAACTCTCTCGTCCACCAGTCCAAATTATTTAAACAACTCTATATAGATTAAATCCCGTGTACATCCTTCCTATCTTGTTCCTTATTGGTGTTAGCAGTATAGAATTGTCACTCAATCGTTTTTTTTATATTCGAGAATACTATTTTTGTAAATAAATACACTGTGGGATGATACATTAAGAGTTACTGCATAATACACTATGGGATGATGCATTATAGGTTACTGCATAATACATTATGGGATGATGCATTATGGGTTACTGCATAATACATTATGGGATGATGCGTTATGGGTTACTGCATAATACATTATGGGATGATGCACTATGGGTTACTGCATAATACACTATGGGATGATGCACTATGGGTTACTGCATAATACATTATGGGATGATGCGTTATGGGTTACTGGATAATACACTATGGGATGATGCACTATGGGTTACTGCATAATACACTATGGGATGATGCACTATGGGTTACTGCATAATACACTATGGGATGATGCACTATGGGTTACTGCATAATACACTATGGGATGATGCACTATGGGTTACTGCACAATAATTCAAGAATAAAAGAAGCTGCAGAAGACCTATTGACCCATATTATATATAATTCACTTTACTATAATTTCAACTTTGCAAAATCTCTTCTCGTTCTCTGAGCGTTATTGGTCCAACTTCTGTAGTTCAGTGGTCTACGTCTTCGATTCACAATCGAGGAATTCGGGGTTCACTCCTATGGCAGAACAGCCATAGTTAGGCATGTTTCCTTTCACCTGATGCCACTAGTGTGCTCTTCCACTCCCTTCACTCGATCTGTCTACCCTACCCTTCATTGCCCTGAATTAGGTTTCAACATGAACAACGCCTTAAGCATTCAATCAACCAGCGGAGAACAGTTGAGCAGTACGATAACTTGACTCTCCGAGCGTTGTCTGCCTTGCTCGTGCGTCTGGCTGCGCTGGTTTTCACCATCATTCATTCACTATTTTATGGTTTGTTGTGTCTGGTTATTGATTACTATGTACTTGTCTCAGTTTGTCGTTACTACTGTTCTCGGTGCTTTATTTCTTGTTAGGAAGGTAAAGGTTCTTCTCCACATCGCAGCTGTGTTAGTTGTGTGTGTGTGTGTCACCTATATGTACTCACCTATATGTGCTTGCAGGATCGAGCATTGACTCTTGGATCCCGCCTTTCTAGCTATCGGTTGTTTACAGCAATGACTCCTGTCCCATTTCCCTATCATACCTAGTTTTAAAGTATGAATAGTATTTGCTTCCACAACCTGTTCCCCAAGTGCATTCCATTTTTCTACTACTCTCACGCTAAAAGAAAACTTCCTAACATCTCTGTGACTCATCTGAGTTTCCAGTTTCCACCCATGTCCCCTCGTTCTGTTATTATTACGTGTGAACATTTGATCTATTTCCACTTTGTCAATTCCCCTGAGTATTTTATATGTCCCTATCATATCTCCTCTCTCCCTTCTTTTGTCTAGTGTCGTGTGGTTCAGTGTGTGTGTGTGTGTGTGTGTGTGTGTGTAGCTCTGGGTGTGTGTGTGTGTGTGTGTGTGTGTGTGGGTGTGTGTGTGTGTGTGTGTGTGTGTGTGTGTGTGTGTGTGTGTGTGTGTGTGTGTGTGTGTGTGTGTGTGTGTGTGTGTGTGTGTGCTTGTTTTATTCATGAAGAGGGGAGCAGTCCACGAGGAGGATTCTTGTGTGTGGTGGTACTGGCGGCTGTGTGTATGGGGGCGGGCTCCTCTATGTAGTGGGGTCTGGCTGCTGTGTGTAAGGGAGGTCTGGCTGCTGTGTGTAAGGGAGGTCTGGCTGCTGTGTGTAAGGGAGGTCTGGCTGCTGTGTGTAAGGGAGGTCTGGCTGCTGTGTTTAAAAAGGGGGGGGGGTGTCTGGCTGCTGTGTGAATGACTTGGTATTGGCAAGTATGTGCAAATGGGGAAGGGGAGTGGGGTGATACTGGCTGTTCTGCGTGAGGTGGGGAGTTGCCTACAGTGTGTTTACTTTACACAGTGTGTTGTAAGATATGTACAATAGGTGGGGAGCTTCCTAGCCATGTATGGGGAGCTCTCTCTCATGTGTTGAGTGTGGCCTCTAGCAGCAACACTCACCTCAACACACGCCATATTCTGCTCCTGATTGACGCCGCCTCCTGGTTTTCAGCGCTACCGAGGGAGAGGCCACAGTGGACGGTGCAGGAGCCAGAGTCCCTGTTGTGGAGCCCCTATTCATCAGGGAGGAATCCTATCTCTGCGGCAAACCCCTAGGAGCCTCTAGTGAACCCGAGGCCGGCAAACGTGTTAATGCTGCTTACAAGGAGGCCGGTGCCACCCACGGTAAGGCTCGAGCCGTCGGCCCCAAGGTCACCAAGACCTCCGTCACGTTTCCGACGTGTCTGCGGGACGTGTTGGCTACCTATGATCCAGAAGACGTCTTCAGCGCCGGGGAGTTCGCGCTCTACTACTCGCTGGTGCCGGAGACGCGCACCACAAAGACTCCTCGACGGGAGTTTTATGGTTCTTGCGCCAAGTCGGACAGGCGCCTGACGGTGCTCTTGGCGGTCAACATGTCTGGCACCGCAAGACTCCCTCTTTTTGTTGTTGGGCGGTTGGCCATGTCCAGCAGAAGCTTCAGGGGCGTCCACACTCTGCCGGCTTCCTACAGGAAGGAAAAACACGCTAAACTGACGGCTGCCATTTTTGAGGAATGGATAAGGGAGATTGATCAAACCTTGTTTGACTCCCAGCGTAGCGTCGTCATGGTTCTCGAGAAGAACACCGCTCACCCTCCCCTAAAGGACCTGAGAGCAATTACTCTAATTTTCTTTCCTGATAACGCCAACAAGATCCAGCCACTGCGAGAGGGAATTATTCTGTCGGAAAATCCGACACCATTTAATATCATACAGACAGATAATAAGTGCTGCTGTATTACCAACAAGTTACCCATAGAAAACGTAACTTGTAGTGGAATTACCGTCTAAAGAAAACGGGATATCATCACCACATACTATTATAATTCACCAGCTATTCTGCTGGGAATTATTCTTAAATACATTAGTCTTTGGACTTTACCATCATAAAAACATCTTATATAAATTAACTTAATTATCAATATTAAAGTAGAGTAAATGTGACCCTTCTATCACTTTCTGAAATCTGGACAAAGTAGGCCAGGCGTCAGAGTGGAAGGAGGGCAGCCATTGTTGTTTATTGAGACCAGAGGCTCACACGGGAGCAAATTCGGCTCCTGTTAAATTTACTTGGACGTAGTGTTATGGAACCCAAAGGTGTACCATTGTCAACACGCTGTCTACAAATACAAGTTAAGTGTCTATCCGAAACCCGTTTATCATTCATTTATGGCCATTAATGTCAGGATATAGGGTTAGCCGGTTAGAACGCGAAATCGCCTCATACTAAAGGTAATTAAGCCAGGTCTTTAATGTTCCATGTACTGTATAGTGTTTTCTCTGATATAGCTTGTCATATATAGGATTCTGGCTTCACAGCTAGCGCACTTTTGACAGGTCAAGACGAGGATGCAAGATTATGTGCACCAGTTACTGGGTGATAGAAGCTACCTCAAAGAGGATAATTTGGTGTCTACACTCTAGTTATACCTGGTGGACTAACCTGCTGTACTATAAGAGAAGGAACCTCATCAATGTATGTAGCTATTACTGTAATTTGATTGGCTGCATATGTGTAATATAAACCCCCCCTAATGTGTAGAGGATCGATTTGTGAGATTATGAGATTATTGCAGAAATACAGTCCACTTATCATTATACAAATTGCTATCGAAGTATATAAATTAACGTAAATATAAATTCATATAAATTAAATAAATATAAATCTCACAGGTCGGTTCCCACATTATTTGGTCATCTTCGAACCGGATGACGGATTATTTGATCCTTTGAACCCACATTTGGTCATCTTAGTACCGGATGAACCAGTTAACCAGTGGATTCATTAAATATACTAGTGCAGTGTTATTTAAACAAAGCCAGCCAGTCAAAGACAGCGGCGTTGCCTCGAGGGAGCTCAGGAGCCTCCCTCAGCCCAGTTCAGCTTCGTCAGCGGTTTCATGCACACCCACAGATATTTGGTGGCGTGTTATTTCGTGAAATGACAGCGCTAATATAGAATCCAGCCAAATTAGTGACTGTGTCTTCGCGAGATTGTTCACGGATTTCGTGGTGTTACATTTCGCGAGAGATTATCTACGAATTTTGTGGACTTTATTTCGCGAGGTCACTAATAATATTTAATACTTCTAGATAATATTAGAAGTTTCATAGAGGCTAATTAAGAGGCTATTATCAATAATTGTGTATATTATTTCTCCAAAATAGAGAATTATTTAATATATATTGCACTAGTGATCACAGTATAATATTTACTAATTGCCAACCCACAACAGGGTAGGATATTAACCATTGACTAGTTGAACTATTATCGTTCATCCTAGTCCCATTATTACCATAGTCAGTTGTACTATATTGAACAACCTAACACCATTAATGAATGGTCCAGACCCTATTTTGGGTGTAATTTTTATCAACTCGAGTTGAGTTGTATATATAATAATTTACTTATGATCATTACACCTTTGAGTGATTAATTAGTGTCTCTACCATCCTAGGGTGATATAGAAGAGCTAACCTAAAGGTACTTCCAGTGACACTGGTTTATCACTCAAATCATTAGTGTGTATGATTGTATATATATAATGTGTATTAATTTTAAGTGCTAACCTCTAGTAGAGGTAGGATTATTGCCTAGTGAGTTCAGAATTTACCCTAGGCTACCATTAGAGCTTGTTCAGTATTATGAGCAGCCCAAGTACAAGTCCCACAAGGCTTCACCAACGAGCCAGTATGGATAATGCAGGGAGAATGAAAAGAACCCTTGCAGGTCTTAAAGGCCACTTAACAAGACAGATCAAGAAATGTGAAGATTTGTCACAACAATCAACAGTTGATTATGCTGACCTGGAAAGCTATTATCAAGCAGCTGCAGGTAAATTTGAGCAAATCAAATGTCAAATAGCAACATATGTGGCTGAACTTGCCAACACCAATTTATCAGAAACAGAAATAGACGACATTATGGTTGATCTTGCGAATTATGAAGATCACACTCAGGCCACGTTACAGCCTTATGTCAAATTAATTGCCCAGAACAAGGCAACAGCAACAACAACAACAGTTGCATCTAATACGAGTCAAGCAGAAGCTCGACTCCCTCCAATTAATTTACCCACTTTCTCAGGAAAAGATGAGGAAGATTGGGACGAATTTTGGAACAAATTCGTTGACCTTGTAGACTCAAAACAATCTTTACCAAAGAGTAGTAAATTCTCTTATTTGCAAGGCCAATTATCAGGTGAGGCTAAAACAGTAGTATCCCATCTGAGATTAACTAATGACGGCTATGATCTGGCAGTAAAACTCCTCAAGGATAATTATGCTGATCCAGAAGTAAGAACATCACATTTAGTTCATGAGCTGTTGCATTTACCCCCACCGGAGGCTTCAGCTGATTCACTCCAAGTCTTCAAGCTGGAGGTAGAATCATTGATCAATGCCCTCAGCCTGACAGCAGATACAAACGGGGCTGAGTGGGTCTTGAAAATAATTGTCCAGGAGAAAATACCTAGGGACATATTGAGACAAATGAGTGCTCATTACAATAAAAGCATCTTATCCATGAATGAAATATCTGAAGGTTTAAAGTCAGTAGTTCATCAATTACGAACACATGACAAATTAAAACCACCAAGTAAACCCTCAGAAACCAATAATAGTAAACCACAGAGTACCAAAGGTACTCCAAATCAATCTAGACAATATAATTCAACACCAAAGTGGAACAGTGGCAGTGTGGGCGTATATGCAGTGGGACCCTCCAAGCCTATAGTTACTGTGTCACCCAAGAACGTGACACCAAAGGGTACTGGAAGCTATGGAACATGTTTGTTCTGCAATGAGAAACATTCAATGTACCACTGCTCTAATTTTCCTGATAGTGACGCCCGTGTTGAGCGACTCAAAGATTTGCAACATTGCACGAGGTGCCTCAGGAAACATAACATCAAGGACTGTGATACCCAATTACACACCTGTAATAGGTGTAACAAAGGTCAGCACCATGCAGCATTGTGCAGAGACACCAAAACAACGTCTCCAAACCCCAAGGTGGAAGATAGCATTCCCACCACAGTACAGTACTGCAAGGTGCAACAAACAAAGAGTGTCCAATCGGCAAAGTCTAAAGGTAATACGACTTTGCCTACTGCCCAAATTACCATCCTGAATAAGAGGGCCAAGGTCCATACCCGTGGGTTGTTTGACCAAGGATCCCAGAGAACATATATCACTAAAAAGTTGGCAGATGAATTACAATTAAGGCCTGTAGCCCAGATGTCATTCAACATCTCAGGGTTTGTAACAGATGCAGGACCTCAAGTCTACCAGGTGGTACAACCATCAGTACGTTTAGGCAGGTACGTCTGTCGAGTACAAGCCATTGTGGTGGACAAAATACCAGTAGACCTACAAGTTCAAGGTCTGAGAGCAACAGCCAAATTCCTGAGAAATAGAGGAATAAAATTGGCAGATAATATTAAGTCTGATCACCTCACTGACTTCGGTCTCCTTGTAGGGACAGACTATTGCCATCGATTCATCGGTAGCCCTACTAAATATCAGGGTATAACCATGTTAAACTCTGCAGGAGGTAAATTACTCTCAGGCCCAGTATCAAGCCTGAGGAGACCTATGCCTGCAGATAAACAATACCAGTAGAAATCTAAATTTGTCAGCTGATTATATTTCTCCAGTAGCATTATACTAAGGAGATTACAGCTGACTATACCAACAGAGGTTGATGTTAGTATCATCATTTAAAGCTGAAGATGAGTTCATGAGGCCTCAGTGGCAAATCAGTGAACAGTAGCCTAAAACAGCTACAAGTCACTGCGACCAATGTCACTGAACCCACTGCAGTCTCAGAACCATACTTTACTTTAATGATGAGCTATTCAATCTTCTGAATCAATTAACTAAATTAAACCCCAATAAATCTGATGACTGATTTGATACATTTATTATTTAATCAAGATGTATTCCATGGGCCTCAGTGTTTATATATCAGTGACCAGTTACCTGAAGAAACTTCAAGTTATATCTAATGTCACTGATCTCACTGCAGTCCCTGAATCATACTTGACTGTAGTACTTGATCACATCCAGTCTTCTGGGTTAAATAATATGTAATAAGGCTTGAATATTAGCCTTTCAAGAGTTGACAGGGAAATGAAATCGCATTAGACTTCTAACCCCTGCAACTCTAGTACGGGACATCCGTCCTGTACGAACAGACACACAAATGTGTGATTACTAACTACTAACATCAAATTAATCTAATAATTCGAAGGAGGAGTATCGGTGTTCGTCTGTTCTAAAGAGGACTTCGACCCGTGAGCAGCCCCCTGGGGAATTATGTCGGAAAATCCGACACCATTTAATATCATACAGACAGATAATAAGTGCTGCTGTATTACCAACAAGTTACCCATAGAAAACGTAACTTGTAGTGGAATTACCGTCTAAAGAAAACGGGATATCATCACCACATACTATTATAATTCACCAGCTATTCTGCTGGGAATTGTTCTTAAATACATTAGTCTTTGGACTTTACCATCATAAAAACATCTTATATAAATTAACTTAATTATCAATATTAAAGTAGAGTAAATGTGACCCTTCTATCACTTTCTGAAATCTGGACAAAGTAGGCCAGGCGTCAGAGTGGAGAAGGAGGGCAGCCATTGTTGTTTATTGAGACCAGAGGCTCACACGGGAGCAAATTCGGCTCCTGTTAAATTTACTTGGACGTAGTGTTATGGAACCCAAAGGTGTACCATTGTCAACATGCTGTCTACAAATACAAGTTAAGTGTCTATCCGAAACCCGTTTATCATTCATTTATGGCCATTAATGTCAGGATATAGGGTTAGCCGGTTAGAACGCGAAATCGCCTCATACTAAAGGTAATTAAGCCAGGTCTTTAATGTTCCATGTACTGTATAGTGTTTTCTCTGATATAGCTTGTCATATATAGGATTCTGGCTTCACAGCTAGCGCACTTTTGACAGGTCAAGACGAGGATGCAAGATTATGTGCACCAGTTACTGGGTGATAGAAGCTACCTCAAAGAGGATAATTTGGTGTCTACACTCTAGTTATACCTGGTGGACTAACCTGCTGTACTATAAGAGAAGGAACCTCATCAATGTATGTAGCTATTACTGTAATTTGATTGGCTGCATATGTGTAATATAAACCCCCCCTAATGTGTAGAGGATCGATTTGTGAGATTATGAGATTATTGCAGAAATACAGTCCACTTATCATTATACAAATTGCTATCGAAGTATATAAATTAACGTAAATATAAATTCATATAAATTAAATAAATATAAATCTCACAGGTCGGTTCCCACATATAACAATAACAACAGTTGAATGGGAAGATTTCATGCTTGAAAACTGTTTAATAAATGTAACCAAAGCCGTCAAAGATTGAGGAAAGATGTACACGTTCGTAAGTGCTTTCGTGAATCAGGCCCCAGGACGGTACCATAAAAGACTGACGTGGAGAGCATCGTCGTACCGTCGCCAATCGCAGTTATTACGGTACCGACCTGAAGTTTGACAAGTTATTTTTGTTTGAAGTTTGACAACAAAATAACGTCGTGTTGTTTTGGCATCGATGGTTACTGACCTACGGTTTCTGACATTTTGTTGTTGTTGTTGTTCGTACAGCAGCGTGTGTCTGCACCTAGAGCAGTCACTAATTTAAGCAGTAAATTATTTTGTAAATGGCTTATGTAAATTGTTTTGAGTGGAAACTGATGTAAAAAAAAAGTTGCCAGCGATCCTTCGTTTTTTTGTTTGTTACAGGAGCGTTTTATTATTATTATTATTATTATTATTATTATTATTATTATTGTTATTATTATTAATATTATACTTGTTAATTTAACTTAAATGGAATATTTTGATGCACAGAATTTACACATAAAATTTTCTATATTGATATATATATATTGTTATAGCGTTTTTACTTCTTGTGTGTAATGTGTGTGTGTAATGTGTATGTGTGTGTGTGGGTGCTTATGTGGTGTTTATATATGCATGTGTTTGTTCTTGCGCTTCTTTTTGTGATTGATGTTCATTTGTGTGTGTGTGTGTGTGTATTTATTATTTGTTTGTTTGTGTCTGCAGAATCGAGCTATTAGCTCTTGGATCCCGCCTTTCTAACCAGTCTATTTTTCCTCTGTTATATCTACTGCATATATTTCTCTCTAACACACGCGCACATACATACATCCCCAGGAAACAGCCCCTAGCAGCTGCCTAACTCCCAGATTACTATTTACTGTTTGGTGAACAGGTGCATCAGGATAAATGAAAATCTGCCCAATTGTTTTCACCTCCGCCGGGAATCAAACCCAAACATTTGGACACCGAATGTTTATTTCGGAGTCCGACTGGACTTGTGTGTTTAAGTATGTGTGTGTGTGTGTGTGTGTGTGTGTGTGTGTGTGTGTGTGTGTGTGTGTGTACTCTTAAATTATATGTTTGTCGCATAAATATGGTCAAAAGTATACAGTACATTGTTCCTTCAATCTTTTATACACACAATATTGTACCTCACAGCGTACGTACGCACGCACGCATAGTCCAAATGGTGATAGACTTTTAATAGAAATATTTAAATACATTTGTAATTACATAAACCAAACTTTTTAATACATAGTAACCTTCAGGATGTCTGAAGTTGCAGCAGAATCAAATATTTATAGATGTGCTTTGATCAATTTAATACGTTACATACAGTAATACAAAGGCTTTTGTAAGTTGATTTGAGTATATTTTGTACAGAAAATATATTATTTTAAATGTAGCTTGATAAACAATTTTATTCAATATTACATCAAAAAGCATGCGGGTATTTTGAAGACCCATCTTATTATACTGTTATATATACTGAAAGGATAAGACAAGTCCTCAGTGTACCTGTGATCCTCACTGGTGATAAAACATAGGAGAGGACGAGAGGTGAGTCCTCAGTGTACCTGTATTTCCCCACTAACAAGGAGTACACAGGTGAGTCCTCAATGTACCTATGCTCCTCACTAGTGAGAATACACAGGTGAGTTCTCAGTATACCTCCCCGCTGTCAATTAATAAAGTTGGTGCTAAGAAAAGTGTATGTTTTGTTATATTTATTTAACTGAAGCCTTAGACTGTTATAGAACCTCCAGTGCTCAGCCCGTCCTCATAAATGCTCATTTGCTCATTTATCTAAATGAAATAAATGCTCATTTATCCAGTGGACAAACCTTTTCTTCTGAGTGAAATTCTCCTTAAACACAACCGTCAAATAATGACGTTGGAACTTTTCTTCCAGAGCTTCGCTCACATGCTCCTAAATCAGCCCGTCCTCAACAACAGAGGCCAAATGCTCGGCACACCAGGCGCCAGCTGGATTAATGAACAGTTGCAAGCCTCATGTTTGTATGGCATTTTCATCATGACTAAAATGCTGACTGTTAGAAAATACATCACTCCTTGTCTGTAAGACTTTTGGAATGTAAATATAACATATTTTACACATTCCTATGGCTGTTAGCTCGTTATTCCTATCTGGCATCCAAATTAGGTCACCGAGTTCATTGCATCTCTCTCTCTCTCTCTAGACGGAGACGCTCTATGGTCTAGTCCAGCTTAGTATGTAGTCGCATCCCTACACACTGGTGTACCACGTCACCAGTATGAGGCCTCTGGACTCTCAATCCACTCTCCTCACGATAGTGTTCTCGGAAGGTTCAAATTCTCTTAACTGAGAAGGAGAAACCATCCACTAGTCCAATGGGGGACTGAAATAATGAACTCTCCTCACAGAATTGATACGATTTGGCGATTCTAATGTGTTTTCAGTGGTGGCGCCATTAGTGCTTCCTCCCTCTAACGGATACTTTTTAGCCAGAAACTCGTGTTGCCTCCCTATAACGGATTCTTTTTCAGGCGGCTACACCGACTCTGGCAGTCGCCACTTATCGTTAACGATATTCTGTAACTTATTAGGGGATTATGTAATGTTAGGATCTGGCTTTGATTATATTGCATTCTCCTTAATAACAGCACTATTCCCTTCTGTAGAATTCGGTATCAAAGGGAAATTTGTGGCGGTAACTTGGAAGTGTTATTTCCTTACTAAACTCGTTTCCTGATGCTACTCACAGCATCAGTCAACCAATTATGCTTTGTTTACGACCCCTGCCTTACTTGGCTTGCCATTTCAATTTTTCGTGATTGGGAGATATGTAACTTGGCCACTCTATCATTACGAAATTATACGTTTCAGTAAATAATATATATATTGGTGACCTCTCAGTGCTCGCGGGTATGTCTGTATGTATGTCTGGTAATAGTGTCATATATATAACATTATGGCCAGATATAATATAGATATTTTAGCATCAGTAGCGGTTGTTAAGTAAAACAAGATTCGCAATTATTAATCTCATCATCCCTTCCTTCTTCAAGAATGATAAAGACGGGTGTTGAGTGGTTGAGTGGAGGTGGTATTCACCTCCACCTTATTCCCCTGCTCTTACCTTGCATTCCAAGCTGTTTCATTAAGAAATTCTCAAGACTTTCACATTTTGCGTGGCCAGAGCGGGCGCTGGCGGGGGTCACCCTATGGCCGGAGAGGTGTGACCTTCTTGATGGAGAGGTGTGACCATCCTGATGGAGAGGTGTGACCTTCTTGATGGAGAGGTGTGACCTTCTTGATGGAGAGGTGTGACCATCCTGATGGAGAGGTTTGACCTTCTTGATGGGGAGGTGTGACCTTCTTGATGGAGAGGTGTGACCTTCGTGATGGAGAGGTTTGACCTTCTTGATGGAGAGGTGTGACCTTCCTGATGGAGAGGTTTGACCTTCTTGATGGAGAGGTGTGACCTTCCTGATGGAGAGGTGTGACCTTCCTGATGGAAAAGTGCGACCTTCTTGACTCAGAGGTGTGACCTTTCTGATGGAGAAGTGTGACCTTCCTGGGGGAGAAGTGTGACCTTCGTGATGGAAGAAAAAATAATATATATATATATATATATATATATATATATATATATATATATATATATATATATATATATATATATATATATATATATATTTAATTTTAAACGTTAATTCAATCTTTTCAATCGAATTTATCCCATGCGATTATTATACAATTATTACAATGTGTCTAAATATATGTATACGTAGAAATTATATATGTAACTTCAGTGTTTTATCACAGCAACACTTGGTAGGAGAGTGTTGTGTGGGGTCAGCACCAACACTTGGTAGGAGAGTGTTGTGTGGGGTCAGCACCAACACTAGGTAGGAGAGTGTTGTGTGGGGTCAGCACCAACACTTGGTAGGAGAGTGTTGTGTGGGGTCAGCACCAACACTTGGTAGGAGAGTGTTGTGTGGGGTCAGCACCAACACTTGGTAGGAGAGTGTTGTGTGGGGTCAGCACCAACACTTGGTAGGAGGGTGTTGTGTGGGGTCAGCACCAACACTTGGTAGGAGAGTGTTGTGTGGGGTCAGCACCAACACTTGGTAGGAGAGTGTTGTGTGGGGTCAGCACCAACACTTGGTAGGAGAGTGTTGTGTGGGGTCAGCACCAACACTTGGTAGGAGAGTGTTGTGTGGGGTCAGCACCAACACTTGGTAGGAGAGTGTTGTGTGGGGTCAGCACCAACACTTGGTAGGAGGGTGTTGTGTGGGGTCAGCACCAACACTTGGTAGGAGAGTGTTGTGTGGGGTCAGCACCAACACTTGGTAGGAGGGTGTTGTGTGGGGTCAGCACCAACACTTGGTAGGAGAGTGTTGTGTGGGGTCAGCACCAACACTTGGTAGGAGAGTGTTGTGTGGGGTCAGCACCAACACTTGGTAGGAGGGTGTTGTGTGGGGTCAGCACCAACACTTGGTAGGAGAGTGTTGTGTGGGGTCAGCACCAACACTTGGTAGGAGAGTGTTGTGTGGGGTCAGCACCAACACTTGGGATTAATGAACAACATTCTTACCCGCCAAGTTAAATGAGAAGGCTGGCTCTCTCAAAAGCCTTCCAGGATTTTGTTCTTAATTGCCGTCTTGCCAAGCTTAAGCTGGAACGCTGAAGCTGGTTGTCTTATTTAAGCCTCTTGCTGCTTGTGTTTATCAAAACAAAAACAATCTGAATTAGAACTGAGAATCCGATAACGTAAGACATAAAATGAGAAGGACGAAGAGGCCGGCTAAGAGGAGGGAAATAACAATGGAGAATGGGGAAATGAACTCAATTTAAAGGCTTATTTGAAATGCCCTATTTCGAAAATCTTTTTTTTTTTCAAACGCCTCTATGTTCATGATTTTAAGTAGACGAGGAGTGACAATAACGTGGCTGAAATATGTTGACCAAACCATACACTAGAAAGTGAAGGGACGACGACACAATCGACTTGAGAATGGTCCAGGACAGACCGAAACGTCGTCATCCCTTCACTTTATAGTATGTGGTCTGGTCTTCATGATTTCAAGTTAGTGAAAATGTAATTATTTTAATTAATTTCTCTTCGAGAATTTAATCATGTCTTACAAATAATTAGACAAAAGGATACAGAGTTAGCACAAGGTGACCTGTCTCTCTCTCTCTCTCTCTTCCTGGTTACCTAGTTCTCTAGCCACTTTTCTGCCAAGGAGTCAGTTTGAAGTAACGAGAGGCAATTAAGCAATGTAATGGTGGTTAGGTTGCTGAGCGCTCTCCCGGCTCCTTAGACGATGATGTGTTTTTCTTTATCTTGGACTTGCAAAGCACAATGAGAGGGTAGGTGGGTTGTAAGTGTACTCATCAGGATGTACTCTCCTTCTTGTACTTTCGCTGTCTTACTGCAGGTACTAAGCTCACCTCTTGGAATATTAATGATTTATTGCAATGGCAATTCAGTTTGTTGCATTATATATAATATATTTTTATTAATTTCGTCAACTTTTTCATTTCATTCATTACATTTATTTTCTAGTATTATGCTGATGAAGTACTTCCCGACATCTCTTGATTTATTTGTATCTTCAGCTTCCATATATGTTCTTTCGTTCTGATAGTTCTGGTTTTGAACATTCCTTCACAATCTACTTGATAAACTCCCGTGTTCCTCCTCTCTTCCGGTTTGAAGAAGTCCAATACCCTCAATCTTTCGACACAGGTCATCAGCTCTCAGAGCTATGATATTAATCCTTTAAGGACCATTTTTATCTTTGATTTGTATTGCTAGGATAAGGGTACTTACGCCTGAGCTGCATATTCAAGCGTGGGTCTCACATAGGTTGCATGTAATTTTCGGAGGGCTCCAAGTTCCTACTACTCCATGCTCTTGTTGTTACTTATTTTCAACAGCCTCAACTTTTTAATACTCACACTTTACTTAACTTTTCCACGACTTACGTTAACCTGAACTCTCTTCACTACTCACCTTTACTCTCATTCCTCCTCATAAGAAAAAAATTAACTTCAAAGACGGAGTGAAAACCCTCACCGAGAGGAAAGTCTTGGCAAAGATGGAGAAACTGGAAGATATTACAGGCGAAGTTTCAAAATGTTGGTTCGGGGTTGTAACCTGCATATTGATAGGGATGGAGTGAGTGCGGGTTGAGTGGGATGGAGTGTGTGGGACGAGTGGGATGGAGTAAGTGTGCAGGATGAGAGGGTCGGAGTCTGTGTAGGATGAGAGGATTGGAGTTGAAAGGTTGAAAAGGGCTCGTGTGTTCAGGTTGAAGGGTTTGAAGTCTGCTGGGTGACAGGACTGGTCTTCTTCCTTTTGCTTCCCACCAAGAAAAAAGTCCTCCGGTGGACTTTTTTTGCTTGCCGACTCGTCCATCTGGGAAGGCTCCTGTCTTGAAAAAAGAACGTCTTTTGTGCTCTCTCTCTACCCTCTCTACCCTTTCTACCCCTTCTCTCCTCCCCCCCCCCTCTCTCTCTCTCTCTCTCTCTCTCTCTCTCTCTCTCTCTCTCTCTCTCTCTCTCTCTCTCTCTCTCTCTCTCTCTCTCTCTCTCTCTCTCTCTCTCTCTCTCTCTCTCTCTCTCTCTTCTCACCTCCATAAGCAGGTACGTTATCTTGAGATGATTTCGGAGCTTTTTAGTGTCCCCGCGGCCCGTTCCTCGACCAGGCCTCCACCCCCAGGAAGCAGCTCGTGACAGCTGACTAACACCCAGGTACTTATTTTACTGCTAGGTAACAGAGGCATAGGGTGAAAGAAACTGCCCATTGTTTCTCGCAGGCGCCTGGGATCGAACCCGGGACCACAGGATCACGAATCCAGTGTGCTGTCCGCTCGGCCAACCGGCTCCCCAAAACAAAGGTGGAAGATGTTTTCTCTAAAAAAAAACAATAAAAGTCTTGTGTATCCGATAACGTAAGACATAAAATGAGAAGGACGAAGAGGCCGGCTAAGAGGAGGGAAATAACAATGGAGAATGGGGAAATGAACTCAAGAAAAGGAGAATGAATGCCGCATCAAAAGAATAGATTCTTGAGATATGGAATAGGAAAAAACACGAAGGTAAGGAAAAAATGGCTGGAAAAATTGGAGCAGCAGAGAAGGAGGGAAGGAGAGAGAGATTACAAGAGGAGCGGGAAGAGGAAGAGAGGCAGGAGGAGCAGAAGTGTGATAAACAGAAGGGAAAGAGGAAAAATAAATGAGCTCGTTGGGATGATAATTGCTCAATTAGTGTGTGCGTGGGTGATGAAGGAGGGGGGGGGGTAGTGGGTGGAGGTGGTGAGAGTAGGGTTGATGAGTGACCTGGAGTATGCCTGAAGTGGGCTCTGGAGTTATGTTCCTATACTCCTCAAGCCCAGCCTGGAGCCAGGCTCGACTCGTGATAAACTTGGTCCAACGGACTGTTGCTGGGAGCGGCCCGCAGACCCACACATATATTCACTACACTCTGGTGTGTATCAGCCATTCTTGCTGGGACGTGTCTATTGTTATCTCGCCTACATTTATCCCGGAAATATGTCTTGTGCGTGCTGGGAGCTGGGAGGATATTGAATAGCCGTGGATCTCTGATATTCGTATAGTTTTCTTTGATAATGCTTATGGTACCTCCACTCTTCACCATATCTGGTCTGCATTTCAGACCATATCGTTCGCTTCAGTATGTTATTTTGCTGTGCAAATTGGAAACCT